ATCCTCTCTTCCTTTGCACTCTCTTCTCGTGGAGCTCGGAGTCGTTCAATTGCGTCTATTATACGATCGACATTCGTGTTGGCTATCTGCAGCTTCTGGGTGTTGCCGTAGATTGGGCCGATTGCTTCCTGGACTGCCTTTCCGCTCGCGTCTAGTCTATTGACAGAGCCTTGGATCTTCTTTGTGAGTGTCTTCATCTTTTCCATGTTGGCGAAGAGCACTTCGACTTCCGCGCTCTCCTCGAGGAGTGCAGCTTTGCGAGGGGCGACCATGGCGACTGCTGGGCCGATGCGCAACTGCCTTGAGGCCTACGTGTACGCGTGGACGGCGGCGAGGGCGACCTCAATTATATGAAGCGGGTGAGTAAGAATGAAGCGAACATGAAGTACAGCATATAATGGTACCAATGAATGGATAACCAATTAGGCAATGCTATACCCTGGTGTTGAATGATGTGTGAGGGGATGCTTGCGGAGAGCTGTCGCGGAGGCAACGCTAAGACCCACCGGGGTCCAGTGTAGATCGTCTCGACACGATTCGCTTTACGATGAACACCCACTCCAGATACTCATCGTACTTGAACATAATATGTGATTGCCGGATCCAGAGCTACGCCGCAGCAAAGCTACATCTTGTCTCTCATAGCCTCGGATGACGTTCTTCGCGGTGGTTAATATGCGCTAATCAGCGTTGCTTGTCACCACGATCCCGCTGTCTCCGTGTCACCTATGTTTCGACGACGCGTGTGCGCCTTAGTATTTGGGATATCACGGTGGCGCATGCAGTCACAGAGGCAGATTATACAGGGGTATGCGATTGAAGATTCACTAGGTTATTTAGATATACAGACGCTTGAAGGGGTTTGCATTCTGTATGTGAAAGATGCATCCAGTGTTTTGCCTTTCCTTAGTACAATGAAAGTTGAGTAAAGCTCAAAGCTAGATCTTTCGGGTCGTAAAATAAGACCATGTTGAACTTGAGACTTGTGGGAAATGCGAAGAAGAAGCAATTTCGAAGAAGCAATGCCAGATAAGCACATCGAAATCAGAGCTGAAACCACATTCCGCCAATGACTGTGGTCCATGTGTTTGACCGGAGACTGTAGCTAAACATTAACGCCCAGGCTAGATACCACCAAGCACCTCGCTGAACTGGGTCCAATTCTCATTCCGCAGAATAGGGACTGAAGCGGTCGGCGGCTTGGGGACAGGTGGTATTCCGGCCGGTGTCTTGTCTTCCGTATCTTCACGCTTGATCTTCTTCTCGATATGCTCATCTCCACTGTCCAAGAAGCGACCTTAAGCATCCTCGACACTAATGTCGAAGGCGCTGAAGTATACGTAAAATGTGAATATTTTCATTCTTGATCCAAGTGGGTATAATGCGTCCTCTATCGTTTCCAAAAGCCTAAAAGCCTCCTCCAACTCCATGTCATCACCTCATCCATCATGTGTTACACAGCCCTCACTTAGCTGAACTGATCACCATGCTCACTCTCACCTCCGACACGACGACCAGCTATCCTTCCTTGGCTCAACTTCCATCGCCATCGTCGTTCCCGCTCGTCCTTTTCTCTCTGCTCTCTTTGTGCTTTCTTGCGTTCGTATACAGCGCGGACAGTGCGTTTTGTACGTTCAGCGCCTTCGCTGTAATTGGCGCGAGCGAGGTTCACGACACTGTCGATTTGCTCGGGTGTGTAGACAAAGTTCCACGTTGACATGAAGTCACTGACCTTTGGGTCGACGCCGGGTACTTTTGGGTTGGCAAGGAAAGGGAAGTAGACGACAGTGATGCCAGATTCAGGATGCATGAGCTCCCAGTCTTCGTCTACTTGTTTCGGTTCAGGGTGTGCGGAATCGGAAGTGCGTTCTTCAGTAGTGCCAACCCAGATGTTGCAGTAGCCTAAATCTTTACTCTTCTTGCCGCCTTTCTTGTCTTCGGTACTCTTATCCTTGGCTTCTTCGAGCTTTTCTTGAGCTTGCTGCTCAGATTTTGCTTGGGCGCGATCGAGATCTTTTTGCAGGTCTTCCATGGATTCATCATCGGGTGGCCACCCTGCACCAACAGGCCAGCCTTTGATACCACGCTGGCGAGCATACCCATCTGCTACCTTCAACCAGTTGTCAGTCTTGACATCGGCCGAGGCATCAAAGGCGACGAGAATGTCAACATTACGTCCAGGTCGGAGAAGCGGGTAGATGGGTAGGTTGTTTGACATTCCTGCGTCCATGAATTGAAAGTTCTTTTGCTCGAAAATGCTCTCAGGGCACGATGCAGGCAGGAATTCACGCATGCCGAGAGCGTAGTTGGGCATGGCGGCGGGGTCAATGGGGTGAACTTTGACAAGATCATCATCGCGCTCGGAGATCATGGCGTCGATACTGCCCCCGAGACCGGTGAGACTGCGCATGAGGGGTCGGATCTCTCGATAATAGTGTGACAGGGTTGCACAAAAGGCAGATCCCCAGATGCCCATCAGCAAGGGGACGCGCACTTCAGGCAAAGCCAGGCCATTGTCCCGCCAGACTGTGCGTCCGTTTTCAAACCGACGACCCATTGCCCAGGTAGGTATGCCAGCTGAGATCTCCTCACACCACATCTCGTATGGCGTAAACTCGAACCATTGAAACCAGGCCTCCCTTCTCGCTTTTGCTTCTGCAGCGATGACGTCTGTATCTGTTTGTTCGGCCAATGGGATTTCGTGTCGTACTGCGGTGTAGATGGGCAGGGGATGCGAGCCGTTGTCAGTGAATCGTCGCTGGTTCGACACCTTGAAGTCGTATTCGCTGACGGAAAGTTCACCCTTCGGTACAAGTAGACGAGCGGCAAGCAATGCGCCATAGATGTCCACCAGACCAAAATCAGCATCTGGGATGCCCTTGGCCTTCTCCACAAGCCCACTCAAGAGATATTTATTGGTTGGCGCGCTGACGAGCAGTTCTAGGGCATCAGGTGGGAAAGCAATGTGCACGCCGAGGCGGTTCTTAAGATGTCTAATGATGCGAGCGTGACTGCGTTGGGTGAGATCTGAGTAATAGAGGGTCTGCAGCCAGCAGCTGCCACTGACGCCCGCCGTGTAGGTGACACAGTCGAAGAGACCGTGTTCTTTCGAAGAGAGGTACGACGATGTACCTGCCACGAGCGCTCGCAGACCTCCACCAGAACCGCACATGGCAATGACGGGTACATCATCGGGGTGTATCTGGGCTTCTGGGATGTCGAGATATCGCGCAAGTGCAGCCTTGGTGAATTGCGCCCTCTTCTTCAGAAATGCCTTCTCTTCATCACACAGCTCGTTGGAGACCCTCACCGAGGCATCCCATATGATCTCTGGGTTGATCTCGGGGTCGTTGGCTTGGTACCAGATCTCTTCGGCAAGGGAGCCCGGCGCCATTGAGAGTTCATTCTGGAGTTTTCGAATGAAACCAGGCAGGACTTTGACCCAATTGGGCACAATGTAGTCAATGATGGTGTCGCCGAGCTTCGAAGGAGATGGCGAGGCCGGGAACTTGGCCGTTATGGTCTGCCAGGCGGACTGGCTCTCGCCGGCGTCCTCATCCTCTTCGCTGTAGCCCTTGGCAACACGTTTCTGCGATGGCGGATCTTGCTGGCCCGACTTCTCGGCATCGTCTTTGTTTACCTGCCTCTCAGCGTCGCCTACTGACGTGGTTTCGGTTTGCTTGTCGTCGCTGCCGCCGAAGAAGTACCGCTTGAGAGAGGGCGAATCCAGATGGATGGGGCGGAACAGGGGGATTGGCGACGATTCCGACGTGAGATAGCACGTCGCGGCAGTCGCGAGGAGGCATGGGGGGCCATATTGCAGACCGAGTGTAGCAGCTTTGGATCGGTGGGAGAGTGGACGCTTCGTGTGTAGGCTTGTGCTATTAGCATGGGGATATAATGCCGTGATATCCTAGCTTACCCACGACGCGTCCCCCGCAGCCAGAGCTGGCCCAGATTGCGCGTGTTCCTGTAGCCTGCCATGCGCAAGTTGGGGGCAAAAGGAAGGAATTATTTGTGATGATGGAGCCGTGCAAGTCAGTCACATGGGAAAGTGCGAAAAGCCCACCTGGGCTCATGCAAATGCGTTAAGCATGACGGAGCAGACAACCTGCTTGGAGGCCCGCAAAATTCCGCCGAAAGCTGGTTTCGGGATGACGCGAGATCGAATGACCGCCCGCACAACGTCTGCCAAGCCATGCAGGAACGCTGAACCTAGCGCCAATCAACTCTTGTCTCCACCTGAGAAGTCATCGCCCACAATGAACACACACGGAATGCTTGGTAAAGATGATTCGAGTATTAGACATTATGGTGGAGCAGAGGCGCTCAAAACATCAACAATACGCTATCAAAGCATTCTTTCTGTCCAAAAAGAAGTGTAGTACCATCCTCTCCTCAACTACTGTGCAGTATCCATCGTCGGGACCTTTTCTTTCCCTCCATTAACTTGTCGCTGGTCCATGACCGCTCTTGCCATTTCCTTTAACGAAGGCACACCTTTCGACTTTTGTGCAGGAGAAGCCTGGTACGGCTATCGAGGCAGTACCGTAGCATTGGCCCCATTGCTCTCCATCGCAGATGCCGCATTTGTCTCAGATACTGGTGGTACTGGTGGTATAGTAGAATGCCGCAGCATTTTTACCTCCTTCGTCGCCCCTACATTCTTCTGCACTGTGTATGTCTCCCCAACCTTACATGTCGAGGTCGAAGAAGGTGTTGACGGCTGCGGCTGCTCCATTGGCGGCGTCACTAATCCTGTCTCAACTGTCGCATCTGCACCCCCACCCCGTTTCTGGGACACCATCTCATCCTGCGCTTGTTTCGGACTACTCAGAAAGACCATACCGTCTCTTCCCACTACTCTGTTAGGTGGCGTAATACTATTTTGCCCCTCTTTCCCCTCTTTCTTCTTGTACGGACCGCGCTTCTTGGGTATCTGGGATGTAGCAGATTGTGGATGGAGTCTGGTTCCTTGCCTGCGAGCCAGGCACCGGGAATTAGGCCAGATTAGAGGGTTTGCGGAGGAGTTCGAGGTTTGTGGTCTTGGTGGTAGATTGGGCGGATTCATTCGCTTGCCAGCCACGTGTGAAGTTGACATTTGACTGGTAAGAGTCGACCGGCGGTTTGTAAGTTGATTTCGTACCCACCCTGGATGCGACAGATTATCCGTCTGTAACTGGTTGATATACTTGGCTCGGCCGTCTTCGGGTAAAGCTGCCGGCTGCTGAAGATGGGAGTGTAGATTTGGGTTTGCTCTATTCGCTTGCCAGGCTTCGAGGTACGGGGCGGCGTCTATGGGAGTAGATTCTGACAGTGAACAGTTGGGAGTGATGTTCTTCATTGCGAAGTCTCGTTCCTTGAAGGCTTTGATTTCGGAGGATGCTTGCGCGCGGAGGATCTCAAGTTCAGCGTTGTGCTGGGCAACTTGTTGTCGACGCCGAGGGCACTTGTGACGGTGTTAGCTAGTCACTTGTATATCTCGACATTGCGAAAACATTCGGCTGTTATGAGATGGACGCATGCGGTGGAACAGGTACCCTGAGAGTATTCGCTGTACTCTTTGTTATTGCACTTGCAGATTACAACAAATGTATAGCTTTAGGGTACTCTCTTCGGCTCTCTCGTAACACGTCTGGGAACGGGAGTACTTACCTCGTGCACTCCATTCTTGTCGAGTTTCCAGTAAGTGTGGCCTGTCTGTCCACAAACACGGCATTGCGGTGGCGGCAGCCTCTTGTCGTCTCGCTGCTTTCGACTGGCTTGATTTTGAGCATCCTGCGAACTACGCCGTAACAGTTCAAAGGCTTCCTGAGAAGAAATTGTGTCAGGATGCTCACGTTTGGACTGACGGGGAAGACGAGCAGGAACAAAAGGCTCTATCGATTTTGCTATGTAGCCCGTATGCGACTCCAAAGACTTCTACAATTCATTACTAACTTTCTTGGTGGGGAGGTAAAACGGGGCTGGGTTGTTGAATACTTCGACTGCCGGCATAGTCTGCCACTCGCCCAACAAACTACCCGGAAGACTGTTTTGCTTCAAGAATGCAATCGCTTCAACAACACACTGAGGTGGAGGCTCGTCGGGGTCGACGATGGCTTTAGGATACCGCCTTCTGTACTCTTTGAAATATGGTGGAATTTCGTCGTCGGTCCAGACTCTGGCGTTCTCAGCCATGATCGCATCTAGTCTCTCCTTGGTGATATCTAAGATGCGACATACTGGGTAAAACGGGGATGGATAGTTCTTCTGCGCGAAGTCGTCAAGGATCCGTTCGATGATTTCCTGGCGTATTGACGGCCATAGCTCTTCAAAGGTCACCTGCATCATCAGTATGGTGAGAGATGTTTGGATTGGGAGTGCCATGCCGTAGGAAATGTGACTGCGGTAGGCCAATTTTTCCTCAAACTATCGTACCAGACGCTTGTGTCCGCCTCATATTTGGCTGCGAACTGGCGTTTGATCTTTCGTACTCGTTCATAATCTTCGGCGTCCATAGCCTCCACCAGCTCTCTCATGCCATGCTTGGTGAGTTCTATCGCAACCGGAAGCGATGGTGGGGCATTGTCCGTCAGCGAGGGGAACGCTGCTGGTCTAGGTGCGGAGAATGCAGGCGAATGTCCATCCTCCAGGGATGTTGCTATGCGCTTGGCGGTCTTGTTGAAGTGTCTCGCGCGTTTAGTCTCTGGCGAGGCATTCTCGCGACTGGGTTTCTTAACATACTTAACGTGGGCCATCCCACGAGACTTTAGAGGCCCCCGGGGATCACTTGTGTTTGGGATTGTGGCACGGGGTACTTCAGGCTTGTCCTTCTCTGGCGATGGGTTTGGTGAGAGGTGAGGCGCGCCTGTGGGGAGAATCAAAGGTTTTGGTGCGCCGGGGGTCGCAGTCAACGTATTTGGGGGTGGAGACACTTGTGAATCGATGACCGAATCTCGATTCTCAGACTTTGGTTCTGGCGAACCGCTGAGATCTGAGTCGTCCGACTCATCATAACGTGCTGGTCGTTTCAACTTGGCCTCGGGTCGAAGCTCGTATGGCATTTCTTGAGACTGTAATGATTTGGTGTAAGCGTTGATTGGGTACCGATACTCTGTAGTCCGTCATAAACGAGAAAGATTGCGGGTCTCTGGTATGTGAGATCCGTGGAAAAGACTGTATCTGCTACCTATCCAATCCGAAGGCACCGCATCGTGACTACCGTGCGTTTAGCGAGTAACGGCGACCTCTAGAGGTCAAGTGAATGTCAGTGACCACTGACGCGACAGCAATATTGAGAATGCATCCGGTGAACAATACGCGTCTTAGCGACGCTATAGTCACTAGAAGCTCGTTTAGAGGTTGTACCCCAATTACCACTCTGAGGCGATTAGTCCTGGGATCTTACTCTGACCAAGAGGCTATTACAGCGGAGCAAATGTTTTCTGCACCTGGTGCAGTCACTGCGATAGTCAAAGCTTCTCAGTCGAGAGCACCTATTCTTATGGCTATTGTTTGAATCGCAGAAGTCACGAGTAGCTCATCCATAATCACCTCAGCATGAGAACGAACCTGCTTGCCTATTAGATAGCATCTTTGTTCTGCAGAAGCCACGTACCAGAGAAGGATAGCCTAAGCAGGTGCCCACAATCGTCCCATGTGTCATTTACGAAGTCACGTCATCGGCTCAGGGCAAGCAAAGCCGTCTAGGAGGACGCAGTCATATAGATTTCGCAGGAGCACTGATTGAAGGAGAAAATGCAAGGAAAGGTAGAGCGTAAAATGTTTTAGAAGAGACAGAACCAGTTGCGGCTACTGGCCAAGGTTTTGGGTAGCCTGAATGAAAAGGCCGATGTGCTTACCCGTTCCATGGGAGTGCCCAGCGATACTACGGATATGAGTAAGCCTTCTGATGCCAAGCACCGCTTGATAACGCCTTGAATCATGCAGGGTATAATGCTAGTGAACGCCTGATACAAAATCAACGAAATCGCCAACTGCCAGAGGATTATGTCTACCGGTCTTGGAAAGGAGTAACGTCGCGCCCCGTAAACCGGAGCACATCCGACGCATCCATGCCATCTTCCATGTTCGTATCGTCGTCGCCATCCCTTGTATCTTCAATACCTCGCTTTTGCTTACTTGACGAGAAGGAAAGGGACAGTGATGCAGGCTGTGCAGAGCCGTTACTAAGACCATTCTGGTGTGGCGCTTGCGCGTAAGAGGCGGCGATGGAGCGTCGGGCAAGGAGAATATCCCAATAGGAGCGTAGGATATTCTTCAAGACATCGTCGAAATTAACGCAGAAGCGCTGCGCTTGACAGACTTGCATAGCCTTGATGTAATCGATGTTGTTGAGCGTCTGCATCAGATAGGCTGCGACCACGGCAGCTGACTTCTCATTGCCAGACTCGCAGAAGACTAACACTTTTCCGAGAGTGGCCTGCCCTGTTGTCTCCAAGCTGTGTTGTCGTACCCGTGCGATGTGCGAGTTGATCATGCTCGTCGCGTCCGGGAACCTGGGCGTGAGGCTGTAGAAACTGGGAGACTCGATGCTGCCCACCTCCATGCATACCTGGGTAGCAGCTTGCATGGCGCCCGACATGCTGTTGGCCTGGGCACGAACAGCCAGTACCATGGTGATGCCCTTTCGCTCTAGAAAAGCCTTGTCCCTGGCTGCCACCATAGGACCAAGATAGACCCACGGCAGTATCATTTGTGCCTGTCTCCGTCGCTCGTATGCCCATTCTAGCAGCGTGTTCTTCTGTATGATGTCCTCGAGGTCCAACTCGTTCAAGAAGCTCATGTCTACATCGCCTCCAGGTGTGCCACCAAGAGACAGACCTGGCATGTCGGTCGTGAGCGTGGGAGGGGGAACCACAATGCGGGGGGCTGTGGGGAGGCGGTACGAGTATTCGTGTTGGTTGCGCATGTGCCCGTTGGGGAGGTCAGACAGAGTCTTTTCTTCGCGTATTGTCGCCATGGTTCTCGTTTGGGACCCGTAGGCGGGGTGTTGAGGGGAGCGTGTCTTGTTAGGAGCAGACGGCGCGAAGGGCAGGGCTTTGTGGATCCGGGCCGAAGGAATTGCTTCTGGCACAGTGAATGATGACACGATAGTGCGGTTTATTAGAGGCGCGTCTGAGGCAGGCGCGAGCCCAGGCAGCAATACGCTCAATCGGGGAGTTGCAGGCCGGATGAGATCTCTCGCAATTCCTAGAGCAACCAAACGAGACACCCTAAAGAAGAAGATATTGGTGGTTTCAGACCAGGCGCAATACACTTCATGGCGAGCTTGCTATGGCTGGGTACCCCGTTGACCACATGGGAGTGGGAGCGCGCCACCGCGCCTTCTCATCCGCGGCAGTCGCTAGCCAAAAGGAGGCGCCCGACAGCGCTGACGTAACTTCCCCACCCACTCGACATATTCTAAGCTTCCTCCTGTCTCACTTCACCTGCACCGTGACTAGTCGTGCGACCCAGGATTGAATATACGAGGCTGTCACGATATTCTGGCAGCTTCGAGCCCTGTGGCAGTTCTCGCTTCGCTTACCATGCAAGGGAACGGTCGCAGCGTGCAATCAACCGCGCAGAGCGACCCACCAGTCTTTGACCAGCTTCCTCTTGAAGCGTCTCGACCGTCTTATATGACTATTTTGATTTGACATGTCAAAACCAGGCATGCGTGCGTGTAGCCAAGAGCAGTTTGGTGGTACATGCAATATGCAGTATCCTGGTTTGCGGGCAACACGCACTGCATGCTCAGGGTTAACTCATAGTTGATCAGAGGCATCCTGGAATATGTCGACTTTCCATAAATCTCTTACTGTCGACTCTCCAGTCATTCGCGCTCACGTAGTACGACGTCGGACTTTTTCATATGCTTACTACACTCGTTATAACTTATGACAAGATGACCACAATTAAAACCAACACCGACGTGCAACTTCGCGACAGCGAGCCACAAAATGCCACTTCCACAGCTGAGAAGATAGGAACAGCCGAAGACCAGAAAGACATGCATAGAATGGGAAAAACGCAAGAATTGCGCCGGAACTTCCGTTTCGTTTCCATCTTTGGATACTCGATGATCTTAATGTCTACATGGGAGACTGTGTTAACGTGAGACATGTATTGAGTCGCGTGGTGGCTACAAACTGATGGTTGTTAGTACTTTGACCATACCATTGACGAACGGCGGTACTGGCGGTGCGATATTCGTCTTTCTCGGAACTGCAGTTGGTATGGGTTTTGCCATCGCATCTATGGCTGAGATGGCTTCCATGGCCCCCACGTCAGGCGGTCAATATCACTGGGTCTCTGAGTTTGCACCACGAGAGCACCAGAGGTTCCTGAGCTATGTTGTCGGTCAGTATCATGCCTTGGAAATCGATACACTTTAGTAGTCTAACGATAGTTTTAGGCTGGCTGTGTGTTCTTGGCTGGCAAACAGGTATCGCCTCCGTTGCTTTCCTAGCTGGCGGCCAAATCCAAGGCTTGATCATTCTAAACAACAACAACTACGTCCCAGAACGTTGGCACGGTACACTCCTCATTGTTGCAGTCGCGAGCTTTGCCATACTGTTCAACACGCTTCTCGCACGCAAACTTCCCCTCGTTGAAGCCACAGTGCTAGTCCTCCACATATTTGGCTTCATTGCTATCTTCACTATCATGTGGGTCCTCGGAACGCACAGCAAGCCCAGCCAAGTATTTGGGTCTTTCCAGGATAATGCCGGGTGGGGTAACATAGGTCTATCCTGTCTAGTAGGCCAACTCGCTCCCATATTTACACTACTTGGATCAGACGCAGCAACCCACATGAGCGAGGAGCTTCAAGATGCATCCAAGACGCTGCCAAGAGCCATGATCTGGACAGCAATAGTAAACAGCGGTCTAGGTTTCCTGATGCTGATCGTCTTCTGCTTCAGTCTCGGGGATGTGGAGAGTGTGCTTTCGACTCCGACTGGCCAACCGCATATACAAATCATGTATAATGTTACCCGATCGACCACTAGCACCACAGTTCTCGCGTCCATAATTGTCATCATGGCAATATTTGGGTGTGTGAACAACGTTGCAACGTGTTCGAGGCAGTTGTTCGCTTTCGCACGCGACCATGGCGTCCCCTTCGGAGCGTTCCTTTCGCGAGTGCAGCCTGGTTGGGACATACCCTTCAATTCCGTCGTTGTGTCTTTTGTTTTTTCGATCCTTCTCTCCTTGATCAATATTGGCAGTACCGTGGCGTTCAACAGTATCGCTTCACTCGGTACATGTGCCATGTTGTCGTCCTACATCATTTCTATCTCCTGCATCTTTCTCAAGAGGTGGAGGAACGAGACCTTACTGCCTTGCCACTTCAGCTTAGGAAAGGCTGGTATCTGGATCAATGGCATTTCTGTTCTTTACCTCTGCGTGGCACTATTGTTTGCCTTCTTCCCAACGTTTCCTTCTCCTACTCCCGAGTTGATGAACTGGAACGTGCTTATCTATGGGGTTGTTGTGATATTTTCCCTGGTCTACTTTGTTTCTCAGGGCCGGAAGATGTATGTTGGACCAGTCGAATATATCAACAGGAATACCCTCTAGTTTATGACTGTTCGAGGATGTTTAATTGGAAGAGGTGGATTGATATACGTATACATTGAGCGATTCTAGTGTACATTCTACAAACTATATACTTCACTATCGGCAATACCTTCTAATTTCGCTCCGGCCATGCGTCAACTAAACCCTCGTAAATCGTTACATTGCTGAAGGTAGCATCGCCACCCTCGACATAGAAACTAATGTCTCTGCTATCCGCGTACCAGCTCCTCACCCAAGTACTGATCGCAAATCGATCGTTCGCATGCACCTCAACAACACCACCGTCGACCACAATCGTCAGATCCAAAGTCTCAACCTTTGTCTCATTTCCATATCCACCCGCAACATCGAACAAGCGGAATTTGCCCGTCTCAATCTCGGTGAGGAAACCATCCGTAGTCTGCGCCGCGGCAGAAGAGTTTGAACGATCGATGATAAGACTCTCATTACCGAACTGGTAGTAGATATTGGTAGATTCCTGGGAACCAGAAAGGATGGTGAAGCCAGCTCGCAGGGAGTCAGAGCGCGAGGGGAAGGTTATCGATGCAGTCATCATCCAGTGCTTTGACTTTGGGCTTTCATCGAATTTCGTCACGCTCGCCATGGATCCACCCGTTTGCGTAATGACATTGGTGGCGTTGTCTTGGAATGCGGCGTAGGGTTCACGAGCGATCTTTTGGTGTAGAGTGGCGAGGGTAACGGTGCCGTTGTCGTGTTCGTGATCTACGCGCCACGAACCTTTCTCTCGGGAGAGCTGGTTGTCGACGACATTCAAGCGGCCGACGCTAAGCTCACGTGGGAGTAATAGTGATCCTGTCCAGTTTTGCTGGGCAGTCGGGAATTCGTCAGTCAAGGTGCCATAGAAGTCGCCAGTCAACCAGAGATATGTGATGAAGCGATCAGGCGCGCCACTTGCTTTGCTAGCTTGCGAGTCCGCATATAAGACTTTACCAGCCGCTGCGTAAGCTGAGCGCCCAGCATCGAGTCGTCCGGACATTGTAGGCTCGAACTTCAGTTGACCGTCGACAAGCTTTTGCTTTCCAGCGACCCAAAGCATCTCCCTGTTGTCCGAAACTTGAGGTACAATGGGTTCGTAGCTCCATTCCGCGCCAATTGTGGCGAAGATCTCGCCTTCCTCATTAGCACCTTGCTCGTCCAGGGCGAAGTAGTTGGCGACTTCAAAGTTGAAACCCCAGCGCCCAGCCCAGCCCGTCTCTGACCATGTCGAGTTTGCTGCTTCGTGCCACCATTCACCCAAATACTCCCACGTCTGGAACAAATCCGCATCTTCATCATCATATTGGGCGTACAAGAAGAGACTTGGGCCTTTACCATGTACGCCGCCAGAAATGACTGTATACCATGTTCCGTTCCGCTTACCCAACAAGCCATCAACCTGCGAGTTCTGAAACACGAATGGATCGCGGAATCCCGTGACGTTGACAGCGAATGGTGGGCTGGGGATTACCGGACCAAATTCTGCTTTTGTGAAGTTGCTTCCACCGTCTCTAGCAAAGGCGAGCGATTGCGTCTCGCTTCCTTGGGTGTACCGGATTGTCCATTGTATGGGTAGAAAGCTGACACTGGTGTATAGCAACGTCGGTGTGCCATTAACTCCTCTCTCAATAACGCTGCCGTCAAAGACAGCGACGGGGTCATTGATGCCGCCTGCACGGATGAAAGGCTCCGAATCGGGGTTCACGTCTCTGTAAGTGACTAGGTTGTCTGTAGTAGCACCTGATGCTCCCAAATGTAGGTATCCTACGTGAAAGAGACCAGTTTCGGGATCGGTGTAGTGCATACATGGATCTCCGATTTGTCCAAACGCTGGAAGAACGTGTGCCTTTGGCCGCCATGTATCGAAGAGAGTCGAATTGGCTAAGGTGGACAGATTTGGCGGAGCTGCATTGTAGTCGATAGATTCTTGACGAGGGATGATATGGCTTGTCGTCAGTGCTGCAAGAGACGCCAGAACGGTTGATGAGCGCTTCATGGCTGCAAAATGCTCGAACGAATGGAGTACTTCCAGAAAATTTCGACTTGCGGTGCCATTCTTAATTGCTGGAACATGATGCTACTTACTCGTGCTTACCCGCACAATGACGACGATGGTAAGAAAGCGCGCAAGTACTTCCCCGCAAAGGCACCGGGAGATTATTCGGTACGATTTGGTGGCCTCGCTGATTGGCTGGTGAGCTTGGTCGCTTCACTAGCGAGTAATGTGCCAATACGTCGGACCGAGAAACGGCTTGGTAATATCGCGGCATGTCGTGATGCAATGTCGGACATTATAATATGAACGCGCCGAAAGAGGCTATGCGAAGTGTGAGTGCTGGCTGGTGCTTAAAGCGGTTTTGCCCTTACGTGCATACATTCTACGGCTTCTGTTTGGGAAACATGAACAGTACATCACCACCTTCAACTCCGGCCTCGCTCAACGGGTTGCCTTCTCCTTGCGTACAATTTCCTACTACCTCATCAAACCCACATCGCAAATAGAACCGTTCGTTTCCTTTACTAGCTGTGACACTCGCATGGATACCTTCTTCTCTCGCGCGATCGAGGCCCCAACCGACCAGTGCTTGTCCGAGCCTCTTGCCGGCATAGTCTGGATGAACTCCACATAGATCGAGATACCAGTTGTTTTTGCGGTCACCGTCCCAGTGATGCTTAAAGAAGGGATAGGAATCATTCAAAAGATTACGCTTGCTAGGATCTAGAGCACGATTCTGGGTTGAGGGAAGGGGCTGGAAGACATCTGTGCCTGTAGAGCCGTCAGTATACTTGTCTGATTATATGTGTTACAAAGGCACTTGCCGACATCAACCCACTCGCTCTCCACTCTACGCTTCCCTTCGTCGTCGCCGTCTCGGCGCCAGATAGCTACGCCGGCAACTTTTTCCCGTCCATCTACCGTCGTCGTTGCGACAAACAGTCTTTCGTTGGTTATCTTCCAGTGTTTTCGCAGGTATTCTGACCAGAATATCTTGACATCATCCGGATACTGGTCGCGGTACGGATGCATAACCTGGCCAAAGAGCGACTCGTCGAAGAATGCTTTAGCCAAGAGAGATGCCATGGCGGGCTCGTCAGAGGGTGTTGCAAGCCGGATAGTCATTGTATGAGGGGTGCTATGGGAAAACGGTAAAACAGGCAACAGGACGGCACGTCGACATTCAAGAGTATGCGGATAGCTAGATATGCGCGCGAATGTAAGATTTTCTAAGGACGGCGGGTGGTCCAGAAGACAGAGCGGGCGTGGAAGAGCATATTCAGGTATAGTCAGAGGCTACAAAGTGCTTCGCTAGCCAGGTAGTGATGGCGCGAGTGATCTCTCGTAAGCGCAGAGGAAGCGACAAGGATGCGGTCCGTTGATTAACTTTATAAGAGACGCTTCTCGCGAGCTCTATTAGTAGTGTGGTGACAGTTTGTCGTACGGTAAAGCTGACTGTAAATTATAGCCGCGCTGCAGCAGAGCAAGCTACTTGAATACTCTTTCTGCTCGGGCAAAAAGAGAGATCAGTCTTGCATCCAATGACCTCTAGAAAGGCAAAAAAAGATATTGGGTCCTGCCGCGACTCGAACGCGGGGCCTCTCGCAAGCTGTGCTCGGGTTTACCCTAAGCGAGACTAGAAGATGTTAGATGTTGAAGAATTGTCTTGAGACTGAGTAATACGTACATCATACCACTAGACCTGGGTCTTGTTAGATGTGTTGTTGACTGTGAATGATTGCTGTGAACTTACCACAGGACCAACACGTGACTTATGGGATAAATTGAAACAGATATATATATATATATATCATATTCAAATTGGATCTGGCTGCACGTAGTGGAGTAAGCGTAGGGTTACATTCTTGGATGCTGCTCCACTTGTACCGAAACCACCAGAACATCAGTCCCACCCAACCCATGTGGGGGGCTCAGTCCGGCTACGGCAGCCTAGAACTACGCCCTTCGACAAAGACATTTCGCAGGGTAAGTCTACTTATGAAGTGAGTCAAGCCACGTTGCAAATTAGAACTCACCCACTGTATCCTCGATCTCGAGTTATCCAACCAGACTGCGTTACCCATTAGAAACTTAAAACTCCAAGCAATTCGACATGTCAAAGCTTCCGAACATTCAGATACGCGATGCTGAATTCCCGGGTGACAAGGAGGTAGTGGGGCAGCTCTTCAAGGCATACGCACAGTCGTTGCCTGTCAGCCTCGACTTCCAGAACTTCGACCACGAACTGGCGGAATTGCCCGGAAAGTATGCATCGGAAAAAGGAGGGGCGCTGTGGCTACTATGCTCCTCAGCAGGGAACGGAGATGCCGCGGCAATGCCGACTGAAGGCAAAAAGGCCGGCTTCAGCACCGCAAGACAGGATGAACAGGCTATAGGATGCATAGCTATCCGACCATTCTTTACGACGCCTACCACCACTGCATCTGCGACATTGCTAGCACATTCAACATCACCGCCCACCAAAACATGCGAGCTCAAGCGACTCTATCTTGCACCAGAAACGCGGGGTATGGGTCTTAGCAAGCCATTGATGGAAGTTGCCATCTCGCACGCGAGAAAACTGGGTTACAAGGAGATGCTGCTCGATACGCTACGAAACATGACGACCGCGAGAAAGATATATGAGGGCTATGGATTTGAAGAGGTCGATAGCTATTACGAGAACCCGAACGATGCTGTGTTCTATCGCCTGAAGCTCTAACAGAGTGCCTACATGTACATGTACGCTGGATACGGTAATCGCGTCGCGTTGTGGTGTAACCAGAGACATGACGCAAACGCGTCGGGATGGGAGTAATTTAAAGTTCAGGTGTGATCGCGCGTCGCGACATTCGTCATCGATTCTTCGCTTAGCGCGTCCTCGCCTTTCATCGCGACCGCGTCCCGTCGAATGCGGTCATCGCCATCTGCCCCTGGCGCTACTTTCAATACCATCTCTCTCACACTGAGCCTATCTTTCCCTACTGCCCTAGACTATACACGACGTGACTCCTTATCCTGCTACGAGCGTAATGCCTGCATCACATTCCACCCCTGCGTCATCACCACCACCAGCCGACATGGAGACAGAGAGCGTGCCAAAGTCGATGCAGCAAGAAGAACAGCGCATGAGGGCGCAACGCGAAAAGGATGATGCGAGACGTGAGGCCAAACTCGAGAAGGAGAGACAGGAAGACATCAAGAGTGGCAGAGAGGTTCTAGACAAGAAGTTCCAGCAGTTGGAATTCTTGATGAACAAGAGCAAGGTCAGTCCGTCTACCTGAATGGCAATCTATATGGTCGCTGACAAGTACTGCAGCTGTACGCATCAGTCATGCTCGCACAGATGCAGCAGCAGGAAGAACAAGAAAATGCGCAAGACAAGCAGACAAACGGCCAAACCTCGAAGCGCGAAAAGATTGCCGATACAACAGCAGCAGAATCGCAGCGACGAGCTACACGCGGGTCTGTGGCCAACGGTACGACAACGGCGAAGAAGGAAGAACAGGATGCGACACCGAAGAAACGCCAAGGGAGGCCGAAAAAGTCCGACACAAAGACTCGTGGAGGGCCGAAGAAGCAAACCTCTGATATTTCAAGCTACTTTAGCAAAGAAGACTTGGAGAAGAAGGCAGGCCACCAGGACGTAGGAGAAGCGTTGAAAGAGGCGGCAGAGGAAGACAAAGATAATGTGAAAACAAGTGACATTGGCATGACAGATCTCAAATCCGCGCGGCAACCGAAACTGGTTACTGGAGGCACCATGAGGTCATACCAGCTCGAGGGACTGGAATGGATGGTGTCACTCTACAACAACGGTATCAATGGCATTCTGGCGGATGAGATGGGACTGGGCAAAACCATCCAGACTATAGCGATGCTCGCACATTTGTGGGAGAACAAGTCGTATGGACCTTTCTTGATTGCTGCGCCGTTGAGTACCACAAGCAATTGGGTTGCAGAGTTCGAGAAGTGGACACCCAGCATGCCGGTTATGCTATACCACGGCGATAAGAAAGAGCGCGAGAGACTGCGCAAAACCAGGCTACGGAACCCAGGCACTGCCGACTTTCCTATCATGGTCACCAGCTACGAAATCTGTATGAACGATCGCAAGTACCTGACAAGTTTTGGCTGGCAATTCATCATCATCGATGAAGGACATCGCATCAAGAATCTCGACTGCCGGCTGATCCGCGAGCTGCAACAATTCCAATCTGCGAACCGTCTACTTATTACTGGTACGCCACTTCAAAACAACCTTGTGGAGTTGTGGTCGCTGCTTCATTTCCTTCTGCCAACAGTATTTGACAAACTATCTACATTCGAGAGTTGGTTCGACTTTTCTGGGCTGAAAGACAAGTCGAGTTTCGAACAATTGCTATCAGAAGAGCGACAGCAATACTTGGTAAAGTCACTCCACGCTGTGCTGAAGCCATTCTTACTACGTCGGGTAAAGACGGACGTCGAAAGCCTGATGCCCAAGAAACGCGAATATGTGTTGTACGCGCCGTTAACGGCGATGCAACGCGAGCTGTATCAGGCGATCCTTGACGGCACTAGTCGATCCTATCTCGAAGAGAAGGCTGTGGAGAGGCTGAGCATTGGCCTCAGCAGCCGAGCAGGGACGCCTTTGAGTATTTGTAGTACTAGTGGCGGTCTTAAGCGCAAAGCTTTGAGTAGTAGGGCAACGCCCAACAAGAGCACGAAGACGTCTCGTGCAGGTACCCCCGCTTCTGTCGCCTCAACGAGAAGCCGGGGCAGGTCGAAGAAGAACTATGAAGAAGTGAGTGATGATGAGTATTTCGACGGACTGGACAAAGAAGAATCTGAGGAAGAGGAAGCAGAGTTGAGTTCCGACGCCGAGGACGAGAAGATACGAGCTGCGACGTTCGAAATAGCAAAACGTCAGCTTATGCAGAAAAAACTAGGTAACCCCATCATGCAGCTTCGACTATGCTGCAATTCGCCATACAACTTTTTCAATCCTTTCATCAAGGCGGATACAGACGGCGCTGAAACGTTCGCCTCGGAGACAGAGCCAGATGAAACACTCGTGTCAACATCCGGCAAGATGCTTCTACTCGACTCACTTCTACCCGAACTAATAAGTCGCGGCCACAAGGTCCTCATATTTTCTCAATTTACTACTACCTTGGATCTTATCGGTCACTACCTCGACTTACGGTCCTGGAACTATGCCCGTATTGATGGTTCAGTTGCACAAACAGATCGTCAGGACCAGATTCTAGCCTTCAACAAGCCATCATCTTCCAAAGAAGCTGCCGACATCTTCATTCTTTCCACTCGTGCTGGTGGCCAGGGCATTAATCTCGCTGCCGCAGACACAGTTATTCTATTTGACAGCGATTGGAACCCTCAACAAGATCTACAAGCGATGGATCGCGCGCATCGTATCGGTCAAACGCGCAATGTCATCGTCTATCGTTTCGCGACACGTAACACCGTCGAGCAGAAACTCCTCGAATCTGCTGAAGCGAAGCGCCGGCTGGAGAAACTCGTCATTCGAAAAGGCGGAGTACGCAATGATCGGGGCGGAACACGGGGGAACGATAAGGAACAAGAGGTCGAAGAATTACAGAAACTGCTAAGAAGAAGCGACGGCGAGAAGTTTGATGTCGAAGGCACGGAAAGCGGCAAAGTATTGCGAAAAGAGGAGCTGGAAATTCTTTTGGACAGGAGTGATGAAGCGTATGAAAGAGCGGAGAAGGGACTGGACATTGGTGGGGAAGGAGCCGTTTTCCAGGCTGTAGGGAAGAGAGAGGAGGGTGCTCTCATGGAAGGATTGAGGGCATGATGGCGTCCATAATAGCTTCAACCTCCGATGTTTTTACTCGGGTATTCCGACTAAAGGCTTAATAGTGTTGTGGTTTCGTTGGTAGATGCTTGGTAGCTGGGTCTGTCACTCACGAGAGGGTCAGCGCGTTATAGCCACGTTAGGACTCACTATTTTGCTTCCACACCACATGGTGTTCTCAAATCCGCCGAATCTATCACCAAATGAGTTCTACCACGTCGCATTGGACATACGGCTCTTTAGTGAGTCTCGTCAGCCGACGAAACCAGGCTGTGCGAATTGCAGCGGCTGATTTTTGTTTCTAGAAGACGGCCAACTTACCCGGTAAAGCATCCCCACATCAGATGGTACCTGGCATCGAGCATTACTCTCCATGTTTCCACAAGCCTTCGCATGAGAGCTCCCGGCATGCATGTCGTTGCCATGTCGACCCTGGTCCTCTTTCGGTATTATCGGCATTTCACATTTAGCCTCTTTCGACTCCCAAATAAAGCTTCTAGTTCTACGGGTGCACGTGGACAGGTGCCGAAGCTATCTGAAATGCCCCACCTCACCACTGGAGCTGTTTCATAGAGCATCTATCTTCTGAATTGTGTGATACCAACTGAGATCGAAGAGCGTTGGCAAGATTCACACTTGAGACCGCGACACGTTGGATGCATCACCGTACTCCAAAGTCGTGATGCTCTGGCCACTTTCTAGTTTTCCAGGAAGCTTCTATTCACCCATTTGAACATATGCAACCGCAAAAGGCCCCACAAACATACTCGTCGGTTGAGTTCCATATTAGCAATAACGTGGATACCTAAGAAGACATGTACGACCATCAAATGCTACATTTTCAATTTGCATGACGAGCTTGGAGTTGCCTTCTCATTGGTCTATTGCATATCTTTCAGGCTCGAAAGAGCCTCATTTGCACTTATCCAAGTACTCCGTAAGTCCATCCGCTATATCGAGTTGGTCGGTCACTCCTTTGCGCCAGGATTTCTTTCCCTGGCTTCCGTAAAGCCATGTGGAAGTCCGATTAATACCTGGGTTTGCTCGCTGGGAATCTTGGTTTGACCTCGTACCTCATCGTTCCATTCAAAAGCCAAGCATGCGGTGGGCGTTGATCACTCTGGCAGGAGCCCTGAGCTTCTCAGGAGTATCAGCTCTTATTGACTCAGCAATCGATACCAAGGTCATCGCGCATCCACGAGCACACCTTTACGGTACTGGTGACATCGTGAACACTGTCGCACAACAGTTCGTGGAGCGTAATGCTACAACACCAAACCTCGACTCCCGCTCTTCTCACTACCTATTACCTCGGCAAGCGGCAGGCCGTTGCGGTGCTGAGTTCAGCAATCAGAGATGTGGTGGCAATCAATGCTGCTCAAGTTATGGTTACTGCGGATCAGAGTTCGAGGTACGAATCTTCATCCCAAGATCTCGATGTTCTACATGCTGACATGGGTTACCTTAGCACTGTGGCATCATTGTCGGATGTCAGCCTGACTTTGGAAGGTGTGGTGATGCAGCACCAGGGCCAACCACTACGCCAACGCCAACTCCCACGCCAACTCCCACGCCTCCGCCGCCAACAAGCTCAGTCACTGTCCCTTCAAGCTCGTCGGCTCTACCGCCGCTGCCCTCCGGCACTCTGATTCCCTCGACGAATGGGCAATGCGGAAACGTAACAACATGTGCAGGCTCCGTCTTCGGAAGTTGCTGCTCGGAGTACTATTACTGCGGCAACTCCCTTGACTTCTGCGGCACTGGGTGTCGCCTCGGCTTTGGAAGTTGTGGTGGTGTGGCACCACCACCGCCGCCGGGCTCTTCTTCCTCGATCCCTATCCCTGTTCCTCCTAGCAGCTCCTCAACCAGGCCATCGCCCACTCCTACTCCCACCCCAACAACGACACCAACGCCTAGCCCAACCTCTTCTGCGGCACCTATTCCGACCAATGTCAGTACCAACGGACGGTGTGGAGCAGATGGGAGTGGCCAGACTTGTACGGGCAGTACTTTCGGGAGATGCTGTTCGAGCTATGGATGGTGTGGCAATGGGCAGGATGACTACTGTAGATTGTCGTGGGGTTGCCAGCCGCAGTTCGGGACATGCGGCTAGTAAAAGCTCTCCATAACGTGTGGCAAGATCGAACCAGCTTGCGAACAGGGGTAGTGAATACTGGAGCGGAGTCCAAAGACTGTGTATACTCGAGTGGCGAACTGTGTATAGCCTGTGCGAGTTTGTGTATTCCATTCATCGATGACTGTCGTATTACTGGAATGTATATTTCAGTCTCAACTCCCCAGTATCAACATCCTTCATGAGAGCCTAAGATCATTCTATCTTGCTTCTTAGCCATTGCGCACTGGGTAGCGTCACTTAGACAAATTCGAAGTCCCCAATCTGTCTCCGCCGCGGAGAATGCCATATTACGTGCGATAGTGAAGTGAAAGTGACATTAATGAGAAACGCCACCAAGATGTTGAACTGTTTCACTGATATCATGACGTCTTTGGCGCTCCTGCCAAATCCAATAGTAGAAGTCTGCATCGATCGCCAAAGATCTAGGCATTTCTTTGGAGGTCTGCAGGGGGAGATGAAGAGCTGTCCGGTCTACTGGTACGATGAACTTTCCTTGACACTGGTTCTTACCGATGGCATGGTGCTATGTTGTCAGGTGGCTCTTACGATTGCGTGTGAAACGTGAAACTCTAATTGGCCGTAGACCCGTGCTTGATGACAGCGCACGCTGGGATGAGACCATTTTTGCTATATGCTCACATGGTACTTCCCAGCATTACTACGGATGTCGGCGACGTTCAACGTAGTGACATCCCTGACGGGAAGAATCGGCTTCGGTAGCCCTAGACAGATGGGCAAGAGCCTGTAGTGCTTCCAACTCTGAAGGAACGACAGCTACTAGTGTTCTTTGGTTGTGCCAAAATAGAGTGCCATATAACAATTCTCCGCGCAAATCTAATTTTGTGGTAGAAAAGCAATAAAAAAGCATCCATGAAAGGGTCATAGTTGGAGCTGTCTCGCCGAGTTCTGCTGGTAACAGCATTGTGCTGCAACTCAGGTCGTATTTTTGCGCAACCCGCTTCGTAGCCACATAACTTTGCAACAGCGCCTGCATCCATGAGACAAGGATACTAGTCTGTTAGTATGTTCCACGATCGCTCAAGAATCTGGAGATGTTACCTTGGCAGGCTAGGAGGAGAAGGAGAGAGTTTACCATTAACTACGTCGTCATTGGTACAGTGCGTTTCGACCGAGGCAACTTTCCATATTTCCTACACCCAGGTTTCTTGACAAATAACGGCTAAGGGACCCTAAACAATACCAGACGGCAACCTTTTGCCGATCCCACGATGAGTTGGGATGGAGGAAGATCGCCGTTCGTCATGATTGGACAGGGGATTTATCCTGTTGGTCCGGGCTGGCCTACATCCGACTAATACCCCTGGCAAGTACCGCCAACTACCGCATCCTGCATACGAATTTCAGCCAGGTCTTAGAATTTTGAAGACCTTAGTGCACATAATTCACAGGTAGTTCACGTTTGGCGCGGGTGGCGGTTGCTTGACATTGGCCACCGTCCCACATTGTTCACCATCTGACCCTCTTTCTTCGGGCACTACCCCGGACCCCTATGTAATAGTTCGACTGCCAGAGTTCAGATCGAGGATGAGCCGCGAATCAGAGATGACGGGTTGTCATCTACACCCGGCCCTTCATATCCAAAAGCGTCCCTGAGAGATGACCGGCGCACGTTGTGTACTATCGACTACAGAGATCGACAGCGGGGTTCCTGTTCAGCAAGCTGGTGAACCGCGGTCCTTTCACACGACACGTCGCCGATGCGCGTCATCCAGGATACTCGGTAATAGGAGATGCGATGGCGATTGCTGAATGCGTTGCCTGTAGAGCAGTATATAGTATGCCCAACCACTCCGTCTACACTTCATTGTCAGCATCAAGCCTATTCATCAATCACAAACATGCACTTCTCTTCTCTTCAACTGGCTTTGGTTGCCGCGGCGCCTCTCGTCTCTGCCTGGCCAACGGCCATCTTGGAGGCTGCTGGACATGATTCTGAGCTTCTGAAGCGCGCCGAGGAGGCCGCGAGGTTGGTAAAACTGGAAGGACGTCAAGCTGGTGCCGGTGCTGCGACAGCTATCTTCGAGCCAGTACCCATCTTCAACGCAAAGGCGCAATACATCAACGTCACTGCTGGCAGTGGTCACGAGTACGTTGCACCAGGGCCGAACGACCTCAGAGGACCATGCCCGGGTCTAAACGCCTTTGCCAATCACAACTTCCTCCCCCACAACGGATACGCCAGTGTTCAACAATACATCGACGTAACACAAAAGGTCGTGGGCATGGGACCCATTCTTTCGACCTTCCTTTCAGTTCTCGGTGGCGCCCTCGACGGCGACCTGTTGAACTGGTCAATTGGCGGCACGCCATCTCTCGCTCAGGGAGGTCCAACAGGAATTCTAGGCAACGGGTTGACCGGATCGCACAACAAATACGAAGCCGATGCATCACCAACACGGCCCGACCTTTACCAGGCGGGTAACAACTACAAGACTGTCACTAGCCAGTTCCAAGAATTGATCGACTACTCCCCCGGTGGTGTGGTTACCCTTGAGAGCTTGACAAACTTCAGGAGCCATCGATTTGACGTTCAGAAGCAAACTAACCCCAACTTTTTCAATGGGCCGTTCTCGGGCGTGTTGGTGCAACCTGCTGCGTACACCTTCATCTTCCGCTTCATGGCCAACCACACCGCTGAGAACCCCACTGGTATTCTCCCATACGATGTCATCCAATCTTGGTTTGGAGTTCAGGGTACGAACGGAAACTACAACGCAGTGCAAGGCTCGGAGCGCATCCCAGAGAACTGGTACCGACGTGCTCTTGAATATCCATACGAGACCACATACTTCCTTGCGGATGCTGTCAATGCTGCTGTTCTCCACCCTAAGTTTCTCGATATCGGTGGAAACACTGGTACATCCAACTCCTTCGTTGGTGTTGACGTAGCTGACCTGACCGGTGGTGTTTTCAATGGTGCGTCACTCCTTGAGGGGAACAATCTCGGCTGCTTTGTCTACCAGGCCTCAGCACAAGCCAAGCCAGACATCCTTCTTGGACCGCTTGACGCACTCACCAGTGCCGTTGGAGGCCTTGTTGGACAGTTGGGTTGCCCGAAGTTGGCCGCCATCGACAAGCAAGTTCTTCAACAATTCCCCGGTTACACTAAGTCACCCGTTTATGGTTAGGACGAACGAAACAAGAGGTCATAGGAGTAGCTAGTAGAGCAGAGAGTTCCAATGCTCTGATAATTAGTAGAAACGAAATTAATAATTTGCAACGACACTTGACCTTCTCTTCGTGATGACTTCGATTATGTAAACCATGAACGGGCAGCTCCTAGTATACACGTATCTGCTAGGCAAAGCTGTCGGTAGGTTTTGCTCTTATGCTGTCTGCTTCTCTCCATCAATGAAGTCGCGAATCGTCTGCTCAAGCCCAACGTCTTCGCTAAAACCCAATTCTCTTGCTCTCGCAGTGTCGTACTTCGCTGGCCAGCTCAAAACGATCCTCTGTGTCGTCTCATCCCTCTTCTCTTTCACCAAAGCTCTTGTCTCCTTGCCCGCAACTCTCTCCAGGGCATCCAAAATTTCTCCACTCGTTGCTGTATAACCCGGTAGTAGTACCTGCCTAAAGTGCCCAAATTTCTCCGCTGGTACCTTGATGGCATGTACAAGGTTTGTCGCGAGTGTGCGTGGCGAAGTAAGCCAGATGCCAATACTTGGGTCGACTGGTAACTCCGACTCTTGTCCATGTATTGGCTCGCGTACGATACCCGAGACGAATGACGAAGCTGCTGCAGTAGGTGCGCCAGCTCTGACAAAGACAGTTGGAAGACGAACGACGCGTCCGTCGATGAGCCCGCGTCGTGAATAATCGTTAAGGAGGAACTCAATCATGAGCTTCTGGGTGCCGTAACTAGATTCAGGCATAGGCACGATGTCCGTCTCTGTTGCCACATTCTCAACGGCCTTCCGCCCAAAAACTGCGCAAGAAGAAGTGAAGACCACTTTGATTCCTGGTCGCTTGGTCCGAATGGTGTCCAGTAGTTGGCGCACAGACTCAAAGTTGACTCTAAGGCCTAGCTCGAGGTTTGCTTCGCTACCGCTCGACATGATGCCATGAAGAATGTATACAGCATCTGGTTGTTGAGCGATGAGATCTTCGCATGCTGATAGTGATGTGAGGTCCGCCGCAGTACATTGTACGCTCTGTGACGATGTTGGATTTGGAGGTGGATTAACGTCGGCCAAGATGAGTGCATCTGCGGTGTTTGATTCGATGAGTCTTTTGGCCAAAATTTGGCCGACAAAGCCGCCGGCTCCAGTAATAAGGACTTTCATGCCGAAATTCGAACAACGAACTTGAGTCAGAACAATGCCACGATTTTCGGGGTTTGATTTTCGTAAAGCCGTTGGAAGATGCCGCACTTATGATGCTTGCCCGTTCGGTGACGATCCCGAGTACAAAGTGGGGAAAGTGTGGGGACGGCGCCTGCCCCGGATAATCATCGGCCGAGCTTGTACCTTCTCACGAAGGATGTGGAAGCAACACAGCTATGCGTTATCACCTAGACCTGCTTGTAGGGTCTTGAAATTCTTCCTAGTGTTCTGACTCTGTTAGATTACAAGATATCTCTAAGTATCTTGACGGTGGTGACAGCATCTAAGAATTCGGCGAAACCTCTGCGTTGCAACCCTATCGGTCCAAGAGCCCCGATGCGGTGCATGGAGCTATGACATCGCTAGTGACGATGTTGATCCGTGATTCTTTGGGGGAATTGGGAAAAGTATAAATTAAAAGATGGGGTCTGGGGTAGAAGCGATTCGCAACTCCGCAATCCTTCCGTTATGGCGTTCGCTGCAACACTTCTCCTGGGACTCAGCCAGCTTCAAGCTGTGACTGCTGTCAGCTCTTTGAACATTGACACGACTTCCGGACCAGTTCAGGGCTTTACAGATGACATCACGCCAAATGTTGCACAGTACCTCGGTATACCGTTTGCGGAACAGCCCGTAGGAGCACGACGCTGGCTGCCTCCAGCCCCAAAGTCTAAAGAGAATGCAACGATCAAGGCGACCGATCTAGGACATGCTTGCCCCCAGTTTGAGGGCAATGCACCTAATGTCTGGCTCACAGACGCACCGGAATTCATTATTCAGCCGTGGGACTACCAAGGTGAGGACTGCCTAAACCTCCACGTTTGGGCTCCCTTGGATCAATGTGAGGAACCATTGCCAGTAGTGGTTTGGATTCATGGAGGAGGATTCGTGACGGGTGGGCCCACGGTACCATACCAGAATCCTGCCCGATGGGTAGAGAGGTCAGGGGATCACATCGTTGTCGGAATCAAGTGAGTCTGACTCAGTAGATTTGATGTTACATAAGGTTTACCAGAGTAACAGTTACCGTTTGAACATCTTCGGTTTCCCCAATGCCAAAGCGCTTGCGGATGACGAACAGAACCTGGCCTTCTTAGACCAGCGCCTCGCTCTGGAATGGATGTAAGTGCTCAGACATGAACCCAAATAAAGCAATGACTGACTTATCAAGTCGCGACAATATCGGTAATTTCGGGGGTGATCCAGACCGTATTACTCTTTGGGGCCAGTCCGCAGGTGCCATCTCCGTCGACTACTACAACTTTGCTTACCCAGAAGACCCTATCGTTTCAGGCTTGATCATGAACTCCGGATCAGCATTCTTGTCGATTGCTAGCGCTGATACACAGCAATCGAACTTCACATTCGTTGCTCAGCACTTTGGCTGCAATGATGCCGACGCGGATGCGGAAATCGACTGTCTACGAAAAATTGAATCTAGTGACATCGAGTTGTTCCTCAAAGGGTACTCCGACAATGGCACGGCACCTGGGCTAAGCTTCGTCCCAATAGTCGACGACCGTACGGTTTTCGCAAACTACACAGCACGTGCTCTTGCTGGTAACTTCACGCGTAAGCCGGCGATTATTGGTACAACGACCAACGAGGGTATCGCATTTCTGCCGTATAATCAAACATATGGTCCTGATCAAGCGCAAGCAGACGCTACAACTGCTTCGTTATTCCTGTGCCCTGTCACACAGACAACCCACGATCGTAGTGCAGCCAATACCACAACATTCCGCTACCTTTACGGCGGAAACTTCAGCAATATCTCCCCGCAATTCTGGGAGGGTGCATACCACTCCTCTGATCTTCCATTGTACTTTGGCACCTATGGTATCGCGAGAGGTAACGGTACGGATTTCGAGAGAGAAGTAAGCGAGCAGGCACAGGATTACTATCTTGCCTTCGCCAAGGATTCGATCAATGGGCTACCAGAGTCGGGATGGAAATCGTACGCTTCGAGTGGTGAAGGGGTGTTGCTTGCATACGATGGAGAGGTTGTGCAAAGCATCGACGCAAGCGTGTTGGAGAGGGCTTGTGATGGGCTGACGCCCAATGGCAAGCCGCTGCCGCCTTGAAGAAAGATGGAGTATCACCGGATGGTTGGAAAGCAAAAGCACTACGGCAGGCGTGGCATTTGCTTTTTCCCCATAGATACCCTCCAATGCTACAATGTGATACATCGTCGATACACTCTGTGCCAAGTTGTCAGCCTTCAAGAAATCGATCGCTCAGGCGGCCTAAGATCCGTCTCCCCGTCCTTGCTTGTCTATCTCTCATATCTCGTATCGAACTCGGCGTGATGTCCAGATGTGGTTGAAGGATAAGTCTTAAGACATGGATGTATGCAGCAAATACTGGGTATTCGCAACGAGATGAGAGGACAAGTCTCGGCCGCAGACGCCCTCACGAACACCAGAATATGGCTTAAGCCAACGAGATGCATTGGTTACCGGTGTGATAGGACCGACCCGTGGCATCTTAGACCCTTGGTGTCTGACAGCGGCCCGTAAAAGCAGATCGAGTTCTCATGCACGTCGTCTGCACATGGCCAGCCACCAAAGACGGTTCGGTGTAACCGACGTGAGATATTCACAGGGGTAGATGTTTGCTTCTGGTCGATTAGCGACAGCGCCCCAATCGTCTCCGCGCGGCCAGGGTCATGATGCGATGATCTCCAACTGCAAGATGACCGCAGCAGGAGCGTGCATGATGGGTGAAAAGGGAAGTGTGGCGTCTTTGTGGCGTATTGGATACAAAGATCAGCAAAACACGTGGAATTGAGACGCAAATAGCCAAAGCATCAGAAACGGTTAGAAAATCTTTCAGAGTGAATTGATGGGGTCTGGTGAGCCAAGACCCTGAGGAAGTTGCAGGTGGCTGAAGCGCGAGAAGAAAGCGCGACACGTGTCTGTGGCTTCAACATGTGGCTTTCACTGCCAGTGCGGGGTTTAACCTTTGAACTTGCAGCACGGCGCGTTTGAGAAGTGACGTCAACCTGGGTCTTTCCAAGATCAGGTAACAACAAGCAGGAACAACACGTGGTGGAGCGTGCCAATTGACGAGCTTCAAAACTGGCGATCAACCTTCCTTGAGCTTCTCTTCAACCAGACTCTCTACCTTCCGAACCCTATCACCTCTGAGCACGAACTAGTACTGTTTCGAGCTGCAATACCTACGAAGCTTAATCGCCACCAAACAGAACGCGAAGACCAGTTGAACATCATGGCTAACCAGGCGCCTGCATCCCTTGTCGATGTGTTGACCGCCTCAGGTGGTGCTGAACCAGCCGGTAAATGATACCAGCAACTGTCGCACCGCATGTACTAACTGGTATAAATCAGGCTTCCTCAACGACATCGTCAAGAACCTCTGGCCAAACATCTGCGTTGCGGGCTCTAACATAATCAAAGAAACTGTTGAGCCTATCCTCGCCTCAACTCTACCTGGTCCTCTTGGAAATCTGCGTTTCACCAAGATCGACTTTGGACATATTCCTATTGGCTTCTCCAACGTGGACGTTCACAAGACCAAGACCGATGGCATCAAGCTCGACATGGATATGGACTGGGAGGGTGTGTGTGACTTTGAGCTCGACGGAAAGATGGTTCCGAAAGTGGTATGTTTCGAATATGATAGACGTGATTAGCTGAGCTGTGACTGATGTGGCGTGCAGGGTGTTGAGAAGGTTCACATGAAGGGCCGGATCAGTGTACTCTTGTGCCCGTTGATAAACGTCATTCCCTTGGTATGTGCGAACTCTACCCTCAAGCCATCTCGAATGCACACTGATGCCAAAACTAGATTGGTGCAGCACAGATCGCCTTCCTCAACACACCAAGCCTCAAGCTTGACTTCACCGACGCCGCCAATATTGCCGACTTCTCTGTTATTGACAGCACAGTCCGCAAAACCATTCTTGGTATCATTGATGGAATGGCTGTACTGCCCAACCGCTTCCTTGTCAAGATGACAAACGACGTCGACTATTTCAAGGCCCACCAGCCTCACCATGGTATTATTCGTATCACGGTAGCTCGAGCAACTGGAATTGATACTCCCAAGAAGGGTGAGAAGAAGAGCACAATGAGGAAACTGCTCTCTAAGGTCAAGCTGGAAGATGTACCGGATTGCTACGTCAAGGTCAAAGTAGGTGCCGAAGCGGAGTGGAAGACAAGCGTTGTGGATAATAACCACGAGCCCGAGTGGAATGAGACGCACGACTTCTTGGTATCAGATTACGAACAAGACATTTCTGTGGATATTCAGGACGACGACTTAGCTGGTGACGACGACATGGGTGTCGGCTCGACCACTGTCAAGGAAATCCTACTCAAGGGCGGTTCGCAGGATCTGAGCCTCTCACACAAGGGCAATGCTACCCAGGCACGACTACTTATACATGCCAAGTTCTTCAACTTTGTCACCGACGCGCAGGCCCTCTCTTCCGCCAACGCTCAAGGCCAAGCTGAGGGTCAGGTCTGCGGTCTGGCCACTGTACTCATTGCTAGCGCCAACGGACTCCAAGGCAACCGTGACGAGCTCAACCCCAGCGTCAAGGTCACTTGGGGTGACCAGACCTTCCAAACCGCGGTCCAAACCTATACTCCTGGCACCGATATCTTCAATCCAGCCTTCGACCAAGCATTCCGTATCCCTCTCACCGCAGCGATGTTGGCGAACCCAGGAGCCTTCAAAATTGCGCTGCTGAACAAGGAGGTGGAGTTTGGAAGTGCGCAAGTGGGTTTCCAAGATGTGATGGGTGCGGAGGGTATGGCTATACGGGACAATTTCGATGTAGGAAACGGCGCCCAGGTTCGAGCTGCAATCATGCTGAACGGTGTCAAGCTGGCCGAGTAAAGAAATGATTAGTGGTGAGAAAGATGACTGATGGTGTCATGTAACCGGGTGTGGTTTATAATGACAAGAAGAACATTATATCAGCAAGCAAAAAA